CTTCCCAGCTCTACTATAACACGCCCTGAGCACACTCAGTGCCAAGCTTTGCCCTTCCTCTCCTGGCACCATTGGATTAAGGCCCTCAGCCAGCACAAGCTCAGGTAGGCGGTTTCCAAAGTTGACAGCCTATTTCTGTTCTTACCAGTTAGATTATATGTTTACCAAGTGGCCATTGTGTTTGTGCTCAAACCTGTTTATGTCAGCTGCACTCATTATTGTATTTGCGTAATTTAATTATATATTATGTAAATGAATGAAATATCTGCACGGAAGGACAGCTACTGTTCCTGTGAGTTTAGGGTTTTGGAGAGGCATGATAAAGATGAACATGCCATAAGTGATCTGCTGTCATTCTCCCGTGTGGGGGAAATGGGAGGCAGAGTCATGAGAATCCTTGAAAGCGCACGGGCCAGTTAGCCGGGCACACAGCAGAAAAAAAGCAAAGAGACCCTCCTGTCTCAGACAAGAACTGACACCCAAAGTCCTTGCACTGTGCCCTGAATGCCTCCAGGGATTCCATGAATGCCTTTGAAATGTTGTCTGTGCCCCTACTAAAGCTATTCTTTGACACGTGGTTTGAAAGGTCACCGTCTTAATCCTATTCCTTTACTCCACCCTGACAGGAAACAAGGTGCAGGGCAAGTGAAGGGCTCTGTAAATGTCTCTTAGCCAGTGAGTGGGGAGCAATCCATTTCTACATTTTTGTGTTCTGTTTTCTTCCAGAGAAGCCTCTGTCTGAAAAGCAACAGGCATGGCACGATTTCCTTTGCAAACGTAAGAGGCAGGGGCTGGGAGATGGCTCAACTGTAAAGTGCTTGCTGTGGAAGTGTGGCGACCTGAGTTCTGATCCTCAGCACCGTGCAAAAAGCCAGGTGCAGAGGCACAAACGTGCAATCCCGGCCCTGGGGAGGCAGGGACCGGAAGATCCCCGGTGCTTGCTGGCCAGCGGGCCTGGCTGTATCGACAGGCTCTTGGCTCAGTGAGAGACTTGGTCTCAAAGATAAGGTGGATGGTTCAGCAGTTAAGAAGGCTTACTGTCTTGTAGAGGACCAGGGTTAAAGTTAGGGTTCAGTGCCCAGGACCCACCTGGTGGTGGCTTTACAATCACCTGTAACTCCAGTTCCAGGGGACTGACACTTCTTCTGGCTTCTGCAAACCCTTATACACACACAGCAAACAAACACAGGCAGACATATACCCGAAAATTAAGAGAAAAATCTAAAAAAAAAAAGATGGTAAGCAATTGAGGAAGGTAATGTAAGTCAGTCAGCCTCTCGTCTCAATGTGTACAAGTACACAAGCAGACACACACCTGTACAGGCATGCACGCCACACACAGACACACAAGGAGCAGGTAAAATGAGGAAGTAGAGGACAACAAGGACACACCCTGGGAGGCAGGGAGGCTCTCATCCCACCGCTCCTCTGTGCAAGCACTAAGCAACCACACACAGGTGTGTGCGGTTTTCTCCCCAACTGCGGCACAGCAAGCCTCTTGTGCGAGAGACACAGATTTGAAATAGGTGAACCACGTACCTGGGTCAAACACGTGAGCCTTCTAATTTTAGAATGACTTCACACGTGGGAAAACCGTAGACAATGGAACGGGGAAGCAGTTTGAAGTTCTGAAAAGCTTTTGTTAAAGGAGGTGAGCTATGAGGAGAGTCTTGGCTGGCTGGCCGACCCACGTTCCGCCTGCTGTGTAAATAAGCGAAGCCTTCAAAGGCTTCCCCCTCTAATCCGACCTGCCCTCCTTCTGTCCAGCCCAGCCCCAACTGTCATCTCAACAGATTGGAGTCGACAGTCCCCAGGGATGCCTGACCTGGCCTCTCTCTCCCCAAGCGAGTGAGAATGGTGACATGTCCTGCAAAGAGCCCCGCAGTGAAGTTTCTGTTTTCCTCATTTTGGAATAGTCTTCCAGATGCTAAATTAAAGCAGCCCTCAAATACACCGAGACCAGCTGGGCGTCCATAGACACTGGCCAAAGGTGAAAGATAAGGAATCCAAGGTGGAGACAGCCACTCTGAGGAGTGTGCAAGCGGGCAAGAACCTGGCTCCCAGGGGCCCAGAGGGGCCCTCGCCACCACACCTTCTTGGTCATTACAGCGAGTCTCATGAGAAAAGAACCAGATGAGCGGCCTGGGAATGTGCGCATTGCTGAGGGCAAGGCAAAGGGCTGCCCAACAGCCGGGTGACTGGTGCATTCTGTCCCTTTTAAAGGGGACATTGAAGAGTGCCTTTTGAATATAGGTTGGAGCTTTTTCCTGAGGAGGGTGTAGCCTGTGTTCTAAGCTGTGGGTGCCGACGCCCTCACCTGCCTCCAGCTGATGTTTCCCTTTGAGTTTTATAAACAGATAGCCAACAAGGATGTAAGTTTATGCTCCAAACTTCAGAACACTGGTTTCACTCCTGTGTCAGTTTATGGTCTAAATGACACACCGAGCAGCCAGTGACACTCCCAAGAAAGGTTCACAGACTGTATCGTCACCCGTCGTGTGGGCTCCTGGAGGGCCAGGCAGAGGTGTCCAATTCTTTGTAGGATTTTAGCAACCAGAGAATTAGGATCTGAGGATACAAGAGCATCCTTGAGATGCAACATCCCAAGAGCTGTCCCTCTGTATCCAGCAAGAATCAGTCCATACCTAAACCCAGAGATGCTCAAGTCCTTACAGGAAATAGTGTAGGTTATACACTGAAGTTACACTCATGTTCCCACGTGTGTGTGTGTGTGTGTGTGTGTGTGTGTGTGTGTGTGTGTGTGTGTGCAGACCCAAAGTTGACATCAGGTGTCTTCCTGGATTGTTCTTCACTGTGTTTATTGAGGCAGGGTCTTTCACTGTTTCAGCTAGGCTAGCTACTTTGCCCCAGGAATCAGCCGTCTTCCCCTCCTAAGTGCTGGGATTACAGGGACCCACCATGCCTGTCCATTTTATATGTGGGATCTGAGGATCTGAACCCTGATCTTCACAGTTCCACCAAGCCATCTCCCTAGCCCCTTCTGCACATTTTAAATTACCTCTGCATTACTCTAATATGCAAAACAATGTATAAACAGTGGCCATATTGTTGATGTTTTTGTAAACATCTTGGGGAAGCAAGTCTATACATATTCAGTAAGCTTGCCATTTTTCCAGGTATTTTTGATCCATTTATCCTTTGACTTCTAAGATGCAGAACCTGTAGGTATGGAGAGCCAATTCTGCATGGTAGTCACATCACCACTTTCCTACCTGGCTCAGGGCAGGTATCACCAGTGGTCACTGACTATAGTGCTCCCTAAAAATCTGACGGCATCCTCCGGAGGCCTCCAAGGCCCCTCCTTGTCCATCAGGGCAGCCTTGTGGAGATTCTCAGGCCGTCACTCAGCCTGGTCCCACAGATGAAGAAACTAATCTAAGCAGCCGCTTGAGGACTCAGCTGCTCAGGAACTGGGAAAGTCTGAAACCAAGCGGGCCCCACTGCAGGATCCTGGTCTCCTCCCTGAGGCCCCATGTTCTCCATTGTTCCACCCAAAGTAAATGACTGAGAAGCCTTGACTGATGCAACCCAGTTTCCCACACCTCTGGTACCCTCCACCCTTCATATTTGGGGATCTAAGAGAAAGGAACAGAATAAAATCTTACCAAGAAAGGTCAAGGGCAACTGTCTGCTCTAATGGCATGGATGCCTCCCCCAGTGCAAAAAAAAAAAAAAAAAAAAAAAAAAAAAGAAAGAAAGAAAAGGGGAGGAAACAAATCCCGTGTACCTCTGAGCCTCCATGGACACTTAGTTATTACAGAGTCCAGGCAGCATAGCAGAGGACGGACTTGATTTGGGGGCCTGTGTGTGAGAAGGGTAAATCCTAAACGTTAGCTGATGTTGGGCACATTCCCTCAGGAGGAAACAGAAGAGAAAGAGGGAACTGGGGCTTCAGATGGGTCAGGGCCTGCGATTTTTCTGGCTGAAGGATCAGGTCTGCCAAGAGGGCCTACAGCACTCCAAGGAGGCTCAGCAGGAGCCACTCCAGGGCTCTGAGGGAGCAAGCAGGAGATCCCCAGACTCTGTTTGTCTATGTGAATAAACCTGAAGGGGTAACATAGGCAAGAGCATCCTTCCCACTGACAGCTACATTAGCATTTGCCACCATTCCAACTTGTGTCAAGGAGGGACCCAGCAGCCAGCAGGTCTCCATTCCACCTGGCTGACCCAGCCCCGAAGCCTGCATGCTTCAGGTGCACAGTTTGGCTTAGAAGGATGTAAGGCAGAGCAGGGCCACACGGCCAGCATCGCAGCCTCCCACAGCTGCCTGCGGGTACTTCCATCAGGTACCAGAACAGGTGGCGACTCCTGCCTGACCTCATGTCCAAGTTCCCTCAAGCCCAGGCTGTAAGTGTTGCTATGGCATCTGGTACTTGCCAGATGGCTTAGCGGGTAAGTGCCTGTCACACAAACACGAGTACCTAAAGTACATGCGCACACCCCTATCCCAACACACAGAAAAGCAAGAATCAAAATCACTGAGCAACCATTACTGTGTACAAACAGAAGCCACTAGTAGGAGCCCATGAAACAGGAGGGGTTTCCCTGGGACACTGAGATGGTGAGGGCTTTGTCTCCCAACTCTCAGAAGTATTGAGAGAGAGGGTGGGAGAAAAGTGGGCGGTTGAGGGGAGAAAAACTACACAAAGGTCACTGGGCAGAAATGGACAGGAGCTTCGGAAATCCAGTCACCACATGGTTGGTAAAGTATGGGCAGCTTCAAGCTCTGGGGTCCTGCAGGCCCCATTTCACCTGCCACAGTGGTTGTCTAGAGAGATGAAGGGCTCTGTGAATGGGCTGCCCCCGAGGGGAGTGGGCACAGCCTCCGTGGGCCATGGTGAAGGCCTTCTACAGGTTTTCCTCTATCTGCCCAGAGAAGATGCAGAGGGTTCAAGGACAGGCAAGCACCCCAGGGAGGGTGCTCTACAGATGTGAGGCAGGACCCATAACCCACCCACACCCAGGGAGGATGGACTCACCACTCAGGGGGGACGTGCTGTTCTCCAGAGCCTGGCACACAGCTAACACGATACCTGTGGAGGAAGCAGAGACGGTGGGTAAGTATCCCCAGAAAAGAACTTCCTTGGAGGTCAGGCCCTTTGAAAGGCAAAGACTTCAGAATTTTATTAAGGGACCAACAAGTGTGTCTGGCTACCTTTTTTTTTTTTTCCATCCTGGAGTGATCAGACACGGGACAACCTGGGAATTGAATTTGGTTCCTCTGGAACATCAGTCAGTGCTCTTAATCACGGATTGGCTACCTTCTTTGAGGAGCTCAGTGCAAAATGAAAGTAAGGGCCCCTTGTACCGAGAGCAGGGGAAAATGCTCGTGGTGAGGCGGTGCACAGGGGCTATCAATAGCGTTTTCCTCTGGCTTCAGTTCTCTCCACCTGTTGTGGAGTTTTCCGTTTGCTGGGTATGTTGTTGCTCTCTTTTGGGTGTGAGGGTACTCACAGGTTGGTTACAGGCCCCCTCCCACACTCACACAGAGAGAGATAGGCTTCCCTCTAGAAGCAATGTGCTGAGACATAGCCAGGGTCTAGCAAGGTATCTCTGCTTCCCTGGGACTGGCTGCCCCATCCAAGAAGGATGGTGACCCCCAGAGCATTGCACCACCAGTCAGGATGTCTGAGGAGCCTGGCTGAGGACTGCTGGAAGAACTGTCACCACACTCTTCCTTGATATGTCATGGGTGTGTTCAGGTATGTCCAGGTCTCATTAGGTGCAGAGCATGGGAGAGTCAATGACCCACGAATGGAAGCCCAGTGATGGCAGTAGGTAGGACCCCGGGAACCAAGGCTGCCATTGACGACCCTCATGAGACACAGACTCCAAGACAGCACAGCAAGGCCCACATGCAGGGCCTCTCTGTCATCGAAGAAACCACCTCTGCCAACAGGTGACCTGTGTGTGCCCTCATGTTACAGTGGTGGAAGTTTCTGGAAACAGAGCAGTAAGTTCTCATAAAGAAGGAAGCTCTTGTGAGTTTTGCCATCATCATGAATTAACTTCCTTGAACTGAAAGGCAGAGAGATGCTTAAGGCAGCCCTGCAGAGGAGGCTGGGCCTCAGGCAGACTGTTCTAGAAGGCTGATCCCCTAAGCCAACTACAGAAATCAAGATAGGTCTTATTTGCCTCTCTATCGCAGCATAGGACCCACGTGACCTCTGATGTGCAACAGTGGGCTCCTGTTTCTGAGAGAAGTGTTTCCTTCCTGTAGTCTGCATGTTCATAGGATTCCCCAGACGCATTTCAAAGGGACATCTGCCATGCACGCACCCAGGGTTCCATTCCTGCCAGAGCCATAAAACGTCGGGGTTTGTGCTCTCGGAGCTGTGGGACAGTCACGTCCTGACGCTCTGCGGGCACTGCCACAAACCACTCTGGGCTGAAGTCAGTCAATGACCCGTAATCAGTCAGGGCGGACATGGAGATGCCTGGCATACCTCAGGACAGGGAGCATGACCAGCCTGTCAGCAACTGTCCCCAAACCACTGAGTGATCCTTATGCCTCTTCCCTGCCTGAACCCTGCCTGTCAGGGCAAATAGCACAATCCCAGCACTGAACCTGCCCCTGCCAGCCTCTGGAGCAGAGACAGGGGCTCGGGTGTGCACTGGGGCCAGTCCCAGACCTGGCACAAAGCCCCTTCATCCTTCTTCTTCTTCTCACCTGTCAGCTGCCAATTGCCAAACTCATGAAGGCATTTCAGGAAGTAATTAATGGCTACAAAGAACGCACGTTCCTCTGAGGAATAAACAACACTTTGTTTTTATTTATGATTCTAGAAAGGTGAGAATAATCGTTCCCTTCTGTCCCCTCACTTCCCACGATGCCTCGGCTTCACTCTAGCCGCTATGGGCCTGGGCCGGGCAGCAGGAGGCTCAGCCTCTCTTCTCAAGTGTGGTGCCACAGTTTCACACAACCCGCACAGGTATCTGCAGACCTTCTCATCTTCTTCAATTCATGACCCTAGACGCAAGTTCCTCCCAGTCTCCCTGCCCGTGGGGATGCCCAGGAAACAGAGGCTTAACGATTCAGAAATCTGCCCAGGCTCCTATGCTAAACTGAAACCGGGTGCAATGTGCAAGACACCGTTGGATGTGCCCTGGCTGGTCACGACACAGCAGCAGGTATGTTTCACCTGGTATGACCCTCCTGGCTTAACCTACAGACTTGGCAGGCCCAGAGGTCTTCCAGAGGCTACAACCTCACCTCTTGGGATTTTTCTCCTTGCTCTCCGTTTCCCCATAAGCCAGGCCTGAGCAGCTCCACCTGCGTACATGGGGGAGCTAGCACCCCCCGCATGTGGCCTGGTGTCTGAAGGCCTTCTAGGAACATGTGGCCTTGGCAGAGAAGAGGCTCTGAGAAGCCAAGGGGCCATGGCAGCGCTGGCTGTCACCACCAGGGCTTGAAAGAGACGATCCGGTCTCAGGCTCAGCAGCAGGCTGAGTGTCAAAGTCACCTGGCACTGGTCCTGGGGATGGGAAGACAGGCTGCTGGGCCACCCAGCCAGCTCTCCTCCCTCAGGGAGAGGCATCCTTTCCAGGCTGTCCTGCCAGGGTCTCCTCCTCATGTCTGTCTAACTAGCTCCAAAGTGGGAAACCCCAACTGCAGTCTTCAAAACGAAAAGGAGGACAGTGGGTGGTGTTGAGGGAAAAGCCACACACAACGGAAGTGTGTCCTTAGGGAAGCCTGCTCCCCGTTCCCGGCGTAGAGCTGGGACCCAGGCCTGTCCTCGAGCCAGGGTGAAATCACCAAGCTTGTAATACAGCTGTCTGCCATTCAGAAACTTCCGATAGAAACAAGGCTAACCCATGCTTTGGGAGTCTGCAGAAGTGGAGCTACCCCCAAGCCTCTCCATGATGGAAAAGTGGGAAATGCCATTGAGAGAGGCTGGGCACTCCCATTCCCCTGGGTCCCAGAGCAGGGGAATCCACACTGCAGCCCCACTCCTGACTGAGATAGACAGTTCTGGACAGGGACTCAAGCTGGGCTTTCAGTCTGTCCTCTGTCCTCAACTACCCGTCACTTGGCAATCACCTCTTATGGGGACATTCAGCAGTAGTGCCCAGGCCTGAGAGGGGCATCTTCAGGCTCCTGGCTGCCTCAGCCGAGGTGAGTGTCCTGCCCTGGCCTCCGCTGCAGCCTGTGTTTGTTCCCAGGCTCTTGTCTCTTTCACTGAATGGCTCAGTGGGAACCTAGCAAGAGCTCCACATCTCATCTGTGTTTGGGCCTCTCTGCCTGCTTTTAGAGGGAAGGACAAGATTGGGTGAAGCTCTGGTGTCCAGGAAAGATGGGGAGGTGGATCATGGTCACAGCAAGTGTCTTGGGGTGCAGATGCGGTGGGTTCAACAACAGAGCAGGGGAGGGGTGGGCAGGAGCTGGACTAGAGAGAGGCCGAAGGACTCATGAGCACTTGGGGGGCCCTGCTAATCTCCCTTTCTTCCTCTCTCTCATTGGAGGCGGAGAGCCATGGGGAACAGAGGAGGAGCCATGGGAGAGGTGAGCAGCCTCCTGTGGGAAGCTTGGCACCAGGTCTGCAGGGCTGCCAGTGACACCAGAATACCTGTGAATGGGTAACCCAGATCCTAGGCTCCCTGGCACAGACCAGTAAGTGTTTTGCCTCACGAATTCCCCAGTGGAGAAGCACCTCCCTGTCTCTCCTGGGAAGAGGTGTCAGTTTACACTTGGCCCTGCTCCCAGAGGTGCTGTGCACAAGCTCCTGAGGACACCCAGCAAAGCTGCAGAGGAACCTTGGTGGAACTGGACAGACAGGACAGGGAGAACTCTGGGGACAGTGAGGCAAGGTGTTTGGAAAGACAAGAGACCCAGGAATGAGTCACTAGACAGATGGCCCCATGGGACACGAGGCTCTCCCCGTAGCCACCCTACCTCCAGAGCAGTCTTCCCAATCCCAGGCTGGACCTTGACACCCAGGAAGAGAGTTTGGAGGGGAACTCACTGGCAAAGGTCAGTGCTGTGTCAGGAGATGGGTCCTGATACAGAGTGGAACCGGAATTGTGGATAGTTGTGAGCTGCCATGTGGGTCCTAGGATTGGAAGAGCAACAAGTGCTCTGTCCTGGCTGGTTGTGTGTCAACTTGACACAAGCTGGAGTCGTCAGAGAGGCAGGAGCCTCATTTGAGGAAATGTCTCCATGAGATCCAGCTGTAAGGCATTTTCTCAAGGAGTGATCAATGGGGGAGCGTCCAGCCCATGGTGGGTGGTGCCATCCCTGGGCTGGTGGTCCTGGGTTTTATAAGAAAGCAGGCTGAGCAAGCCGGGGAAAGCAAGCCAGTAAGCAGCACCCCTCCATGGCCTCTGCATCAGCTCCTGCCTCCAGGATCTTGTCCTGTGTGAGTTCCTGTCCTGACTTCCTTCAGTAGTGAACAGCAATGTGGAAGTGTAAGTTGAATAAACCCTTTCCTCCTCAACTGGCTTTTTGGTCATGGTGTTTTGAAGCAGCAATAGAAACCCGAACTAAGACATGCTCTTAACTGCTGAACCATCTCTCCAGCCCCTTGTTAGTTTGTAAGGATACACAGGGCCTTTACCTGGCCTGGAACTCCAGCGAGTCCTAGGAGCCTGACTCCATATCCCTATGCTAGGATTACAAGCACATATCATCGGACCTGGCTTTTTCCACGGGTTCTGGGGGTTGAACTCAGGTTCTTATACTTGCAGGGCAACCACTTTAATTTTCAAGCAATCTCCTCAGACCAATATATATATATTTTTAATTTTGGAATTTTATTTTGGAATATTTGTTTTAGACGTTGATATATTTTGGGAACAGGCACAAAGTCCAAACAGAAGATTAATTTGTTTCATATGTATGTCATGTGAATAGACTCAGTGTCATTGGGTTCGTAATTTTAGGGTACCTGCCTGATGACTGTGACCCATTCCAGAAGGCCAGATGTGGAATCTTCTGCTTGAAGCCTCACATGAACACTTAAAACACTGCAGATTTTGGACTGCAGATTTTCAGTCTAGGGGTGCACAGCCTGTGTGATGCTCCTATTTTGGAGGT